TTCCCAATCGCCCTCCTCCATCGACGCCGGCTTTGTAGGTCGCAAAGCCTTTAGGATCCCTTGCTGCGCCAACAGATCCTTCACCCTCGTTTGGCATAATCCGAAGTTACCCTGACCATCGAATTTCGCAACTTCGAATTTTGCTCCTGACATCTGATACCAATTGTTGAAGAATCGAGCAAAGTAAACGAAAGAACACAAGAATTTTAACGAGGTTCGGCAATGTGCTTACGTCCTCGGTGCCTAGGCGACGCTAGAAATTTTATTCAATGTCTCATAGATTTAGGTTACATCTCTATTTATAATAAAAAAAACCTTGTACATAATTACATAATTAACCATGTCCTCTTTACTGGTATATTTATGAGTCATACATATCATGGAAAAAGTACACATACGGGACCGGAGAAAACGAGATCATGACCCCGAAAGAGTTCAAGGAGATGCTCGACGAGTTGCTCCTGCTAAACAGGGTACTGGACATCGGGGACTCCATTCCTTGGCTAAGATTCCTGGATTTGCAAGGCTATATCAAGAGAATGAAGGCGTTGAGCAAGAAGTTCGACAGGTTCTTGGAACATGTTTTGGATGAACATAATGCTAAGGGAAGAGAGAGTAAAGATTATGTTGCCAAGGATATGGTGGATGTGCTTTTGCAGCTTGCTGATGATCCCAATCTTGATGTCAAGCTTGAAAGACATTGAGTCAAGGCATTTAGTCAGGTGATTATTCATCACTTAAAAGATGATTGTCTTTTTTGAAGGAAATAGTAAGCATTTATTGTTAAATTATTGTTTATAAGAAGTGCTACTCTTTGTTTGTTGTTATTATTACATGTGGTGGGTCAACCGTAGGAGGAGCCAACACTGATGTGAAACACTGATGTGATTTTGATTGTAGTGTCTCGTTTGTTTGTTTCTAAGTAATTCTAGCTATGAAAGACCTTTTTGTTGCCTTATTATATTGGGTAAACTAACTATATGATCACCCACATAGTATTTAGTTTCTAATTTTATATAATAAAAAAAACCTTTTAAGCTTTTCCAACTAACGTTCTATTTTAATTCGATTTTTTCACCCTAATATTAAAAAATTAACAGTGTTGTTAACGTGTCACCATAAGGTAATATCATATTAGTATTAAAAAATAATTTAACAAAACACGTTAGCATCATCGTTAATGTTTTAACAATGGGTGATCAAAACATAATCAAAACATAATCAAAACTTAAGTTAGGTATGATTTTGAAGAAAAAAATAATTGTGTGACCAAAATAATAGATGATCAAAACAGAATCAAAACTTAACGTTACGTATGATTTTGAAGTAAAAAATAATTGTGTGACCAAAATAAAAACTAAGTAATAACTGAGTGACCAAATAGGTACTTTATTCTATTATTTTTATGCATTTAAAAAGGCATAACTTGAAAAAATAAATATTCAACCAACTACCAGTTAATCTAGTAGGACGAGATACTAGATTACTTAAGCAATATTAGGGGTTCGAACCCTGATATTAGCGAATGAAACAAACTAGGTTGGGAGGGTTGTCCTCGCCTCTGTAATATCCGATCTAGATTAATCGGTCAATAGATAGAATATTAGTGATTAATTCAAAAAAAATTATTCATAATGTTTTTACCCCTAAAAAAATAAGGTTCAAAATTACTTTAATAAAACGTATGGTGTTTTTTTTTTCGTTATGCCTTTAGACAAATGACTTAGAAGTTTTCATTAGGTAGAACGTCAGCTAATGTTTGAAGATGTTTCAGGACCTAATAGCTGGAGGAACCGAGAGTTCAGCAGTGACAGTGGAATGGGCAATTTCGGAGCTATTGAAAAAACCATAAATCTTTTCCAAGGCCACGGAAGAACTAGATAGGGTAATCGGCAGAGAAAGATGGGTAGAAGAAAAGGACATTGTCAACCTCCCCTACATCCAATCAATTGCCAAAGAGACTATGCGTTTGCACCCTGTGGCACCCATGCTGGTGCCTCGCATTACCCGTGAAGACTGTCAAATACAAGGTTACAACATTCGCAAGGGCACTAGAGCTCTTGTTAATGTGTGGAACATTGGGAGAGACCCTACAGTCAATTGCCAAAGAGATTATGCGTTTGCACCCTGTGGCACCCATGCTGGTGCCTCGCATTGACCCGTAAAGACTGTCAAATACAAGGTTACAACATTCGCAAGGGCACTAGAGCTCTTGTTAATGTGTGGACCATTGGGAGAGACCCTACAGTTTGGGACAATCCCAATGAGTTTTGGCCTGAGAGATTCATTGGGAAGGCCATTGACGTGAAAGGACATGATTTTGAGCTGTTGCCATTTGGGGCAGGGAGAAGGATGTGCCCCGGATATCCCCTGGGGATTAAGGTCATTCAAACAAGCTTGGCTAATCTTTTGCATGGATTTACTTGGGAATTGCCAAGTAATATGACGAAAGAAGAACTTAACATGGAGGAGATCTTTGGTCTCTCCACTCCGAAAAAGTACCCGCTGGAGACTGTGGCAGTGCCTAGGCTCCCACTTCATCTGCGCCCACTGATTATTTATCTAAGGCTCATAGAAATAATAGAGTATGATAATATAAAAAAGATAAAAGGTTATGGTGATTGGTGGTTTGTTGATGCTTTTCTTTTGGTCATCACTCTTGTCAAACCAATCAATTATGTAATGGCAGGCAATTATGTTATGCATGTTTTCTTGTCGTTTCCCCCATCCAATTCCAGTTTTCTATTCTGTTTATTTATTTATTTTTACAGAAATTAGTCCATCAGATTTTTTTTAGAAATTTTAAAATACAGTTGGTTAATGTAAAGTTAAAGAATAATAGAAATCAATAGTAATCGAAAATGTTATCAAAAGCGTAATATTTTAAGTTAAATCGAAAATATTATATTTTTTGTAATATTTTTATTATAATTAAAAATGTTATAAAATTGTATGATTTTTTTAGTTATAAACTATAAAATCACCGTAATATAATATTTTCGGTTGCATTTGAAAATATTATAAATTTGTATAATTTTTTAGATAAAACATTATAAGTTGAAAGTCACCTTAAATTAGTTATCGAATAACAAAACCACTCACATATATTGGACCAAGCTTGGTGAAACAATTTACGTCCATAATTAATTTTGGATTGAATCGAGACTAGACCTTAATCCATCCGACAGAATACTCTCCCATAATTAAGTAATATTATTAGACTTTGGGAAGGGATAACTTACATATCAATATAGAATTAATAATTTTATATTTTTTTCTAATCTTCGGATTAAAACTCAATCTATGGCTAAAAGTTATTTACCTTTATCTCCTTTTTGTTTTGTTTTGTTTTGTTTTTTTTAATTTTTATTGATGCATCTCTCCTTCTCTTTCTATATATACGTACTTGTACATATATCCTTTATATGATTTGGGTCTACTTACACTAATATAAAATTAAATAAATTCTATATATTTTTTATAAATTATTTTATTTTTAATCTTTAGGATTGATGATATATCTTTAAAAAGTTATTAGTAATTAATTCATATATTTAAAAGAATGAATTAGAGAGAATTTATGAAGTTAATTTCTCAAATTCATTTTTTTGGTTAAAATTAAAAAAAAAAAAGTCGATGAAAAACGATTAATAATAGTGTCTAAGATCAAAAGTTAAAGTCAACATATGATCAATAAAAACAACTAACGAAAAATCAATAACTCGAACTCTAAGTCAGGTCAGAATATGAGTCAAATACTTAGGTTAAGATGGTTCAAGTTGAAGTACGGGTTAAACTAGTCAAAACGGGTCAGTCTCGATTATGGATCAGGTCAATTCAAGTCAAGCGAGTTAGAGCATTATGATTTAGGCAGCATATAGATATCAGATCTAGTCCAAGGCAACGCTAGTACGAGTCAAACAGAGTAACTCGAGTTCAAACTAGGGTCAGATTCAAATTACTTAGGTCAAAGATGGGTCACAGGTCCAAAGGCATCAAACCTTTCTAGCTCATGACTAAGGCATTGCGCCACGACAAAATATGGGTCAGGGCTTTGTGCCTAGAGTCATTAGCAGATCAGCTAAGGTATTGGGCTCATTGGGTCATGCTGGAACTAGCCCGACTGGCTAAATTCCAATAATCATTCCAATGAAATTGAAATGTTGTAGAGGGATGTGAATCATGAACAGCTAGACTCCAATGAAAGATGAAAGCTGCTAGCATTGCTTATGGTCATGTATGAACACTCTTTAATTTGTATGGAAAAAGATTCCTTCCTTCCAAAGTCATTGAAATCCCCTTTCTTTCCTTTTCCACCTTTTTCTTTTTCACTTTTTGGACGGCTGTTATCATTATTTTCATCTAATTACAACCTTTCCAACTAGATTCCTTCACTGGTTTTCTCTTCTTTCACCTATATATTCCTCATCAAATGATCTCCCATTATGCATATAACTTGGTTCCGTTTACTTTGCAAGAGACCAAAAAGACAGTCCAGGCAGCTAGCAAGTATCAATGGCTACGTACACTCAAGCAAGCCTACACCACGCACCGCAAAGAGGAGTAGCCATGGCATTGGCTCTGATTGCTGCTGTTGTTCTATCTCCATTGTACGTTAGCAGCAAACAAGAGATACGGTACTACGAGATGAAATTGAGCTCTGGGTTTGTTCTTCCAATGGTTTTAGCAGGGCTTATAATTGCCATTAGGACTACTTCTTCAATGGAAAATGGAGGTAGAGCTTGGCTAAGTCCATCTCCAGATCCAGCGTGGGTGCTAAGAATTGGGGGTTCCTCATGGGGACTAGCTGCTATCTTGGTGATGCTTATGCTTGTACTATCATGGCAAGAATCTGTCAAAGAATTCTTTTGGAGATAGATCATGATAATGTTGTTTACCAATCATAATTCTACTTCATTTTTATTGAATTTTCTAGTTTACAACGGATAATCCAAGTATCAAGACGAGAATATATTATTGTTTATCATTGACTCCTCTTGAAGTTTCATACCCGTACCATCTCTACCAACATTTACATGAGCATATATATGGTTTTACGTTTGAAGTTTAATTTTTAAATTTAAAAAATGAATTTATAATTTTTTTTAAAAATACAAATATATTATTAATAAAAATATCTAAATCTCGATCCATCGACACACATCCCACCAATTGCCCTTTTGAAACATCATATAGTATTAGAAACCATTGAAGCCATCTCATTCACTACCATCGAAATCTCCCTAAAAATCATCAACACTCAACGATAGATCGAGATGCAGCTGGGGTAGTCACCCTTTAAAATTTTCAAATTATTATAAATTTTAGATATTTTTAGTATTTTGATAATTCATTTTTACTATTTAGAATTTTATAAATTCGTAACTCTCCCTTAACATAAAATCATGTGTTGGTCCTATCACACCCGTTTGCACCACCATTCACCATCTCCATCGAAACACCATCACCTTAATGCAACCATCGCCCACCACCATCGTTGAGAATCCTCACCATCATCCTCCTAAACTGATACACACAAGCCACAAACCTCACTATTAACCATAACCAAACCAAACCCAATCGAAGCTCCACACACAAAAAAAAAAGGACAAGGAAACCAACGATCCAAAACTTGTAACAAAGAATAGAAGAAAACGACCAATCCAAAACTTGTAACAAAGAATAGAAGAAAACCACCAATCCAAAACTAATTATAACCAAAAAAAGCCAGCATCAACAAATGCAAAAAGAAGGAGAATCGAGAAAGAAGAAAAGTTCCCATAACTTTACTGGTCAAGCAATGAATCCCAACAGTATTTGAAATAGAAAACATATCTAGATTTGACGTTGATTAGAAAATTGAAATAATAAATCCAAGGATAGTATTTGAAGGGTATATGTTTAAGGCTTGTTATAACATTTATGAGCACTTCTTATCACCTTGTATCTATAATATAAAAAAGGGTGAGTATTCGATCGAATTAAATTGAGTTAAAAAATTTAAAGTTATTTGAGTTGATAAGTTCTATTTATAACTCAAATTTTATTATAAATTTTTTTAGTCAAGTTTAGAAAATTTGAGTCGAGTCGAATGGAGTCTATTTGTTTGAATTTTTATTTAAATTTAATTGTAAATATTTATAATGTTATAATACTATTTGATTCCATTTTAAACAACATTTTATAATCATGTACGATATACATATATATTTTTTTTCATATTTGTTCATATGTGATATACATATATCATGCAAAGTTTAGTGACTCAACTCGAACTTAAAAACTAATCAATTAATTACTAAAATTTTTGAGTTATTTGAATTATGTTTTAGAACTCAACTTGAGTTTGAATTTTTTTTAGTCGAGAGTTTATAAAAATAAGAGTCGAGTTAAGTCAAATTTTTAACGTCGACTCGAAAATTTTGATTTTTGAGTCGAGCCTAGGTTTCGAATTAATCGAGTTGACGAGTCATATTTTATAACTCAAACTTTATTTGAAAATCTTTAAGTTATGTTTATGAAACTCAAGTTGAGTATAGTCATTCGAAAATTTATTTAAATTTAAATATAAATATTTATAACATTATTGTACTAATTGATTCTAGTTTAGGCAACCTTCTATAATCATGTACGATATATATATATATATATTTCTTAATTTTTTTATATGTAATATACATATATCATGTAAAGTTGAGAATCTTAATTCAAATTTAAAATTATCCTACTCATTACTGAAAATTCAATTTATTCATGTCCTAATGAAAAAATGACAAAAAAAACATAACGAATTTAGAAAAATATAAAAAAGATTATCAAATTATAACTATCTATCATCATCAATATTATAGTATGTAATTAATAATAAAAATATTCATAATTTTATTATCTAAATGATTAAGTAATATTAATACTTTTTATTTAAGATTTAAATTCGGACCCATATATAGTTAAGATCTATTTACATAATGTAATTTTTTTAAAAATTTTACACAAAACTAGGACCATTAAATGAAAGATTAACTCATTCTTTTTTCAGTGACTATCTTTAATTTCTTACTGTTAATCTGAGTCTTCTATTTTCACTCATCTAACAATTCTAAATTTGTGTAAAATTAAGAAAATTTACATTGTGCGATTAGATCCCATCTCTCTCTATATATAATCCAATTATACAGTTTAAAACTTTTTAGTTTTACACATATTTAAGATCGTAACATTCGCCCTATTCAAACAAATAATCTCTCCACATCATTACCCGACAAATTACTTTTAAACTCACCACATTATCCCACAAAATCAGCCTTTATGAGTTGTGGCACACCACTTATTTGATATACAAAATATTTCACGTTATTAAATCCTGACCATTCGACATAGTGGAGAAAATTATGTAAATAAAAATACTCATAAACTAAAAGATGTATTTAAAACATAGGGACGAATACAAAATTTTATTTTAAAAATAATAAATTTATAAAATTTTAGGATAGAATAAATTTATAAAATTAAAAGAAATATCAGTATAAAAAAATAACTATTTCAATTACCCTTTTTAATCCATCCTACTCGTTCGTCGAACATTCAAAATGCATCAAATAAAAAGTAAAATTATGTATATGTACTAATTTTCCACCGAAAAAATAAATAAAGAATGAAAAAATAATAGTAAAAAGGGCTTTTAAAGTTGGGCTGCTCACAAAGTGATTGGACCTGGGTCAGGGCCTAGATTAGACCTTCCGCGGGCGGAGTTGATTTTTTCCAGGGTCAGACCGGCCCTGAACCGTGCAATGAAATTATCGGCTTTGGTGTTCACGTCTGGACTTGCACAAAACAATGCTCCGGCAGTTGAATCCTCACCCTCCATTTCACCCATTTTATTGCCATCCGACGGACTCGCTTCCCCGCTTAATGGGTCATCCGTATCCGGTGATTCGTCCCGTGAACTGTAAGCACTTTTTAATCTAACAAAATCACCCTGTACTTCGAACTTCCACGGCCGCAGTTTAAACGGCGGTGGAGGTGGCCGTGGAGGGATCGGATTTATCGGTGATTCATTACCGCTTTCCATGCTCTCTTCTACGTTGTTCATGTTATTTATCTTGACTGGCAAAGGAGGCTTCTGGGTTGTTACTACCAGTGAAGACGACGGCGATGGAGGGATTGAGTGGTGCTTTCTGCCTTTACTTTTCTTTGAACAAAAGTTGATTTGATAGAATGAAGCCAATGGTGGTGGCGGCGGCGGCGGCGGCGGCGGAGGAGAAGGCGATGTGGGTGTATATAAAGGAAGCGTTGAAAGTCTAAAGAATTCTTCAAGGTTTTCAATGCTTCTTTGCCTTTGCTTCTTTTTTCTTCTCAATGAAATCAATAATTCTTTACTCCCCCCACCTGCCTTTTTATCACCCTTGGAACTTCTCTTTTCCGGCCGACCTGTTGGTGGTGGAGGCGGAGGAGGTGGTGGTTGTGAAGGCGGAGACCGAACCGGTGGAACTTCATAATTAGCCCGCTTATGTTTTCTTCTAACTATCTTAGGAAGCTGCGGCGGAGACGTTCGAACAGTATCAACAGCTATATCCTTTGCAAAAACTTGTTTTTCATCATTCTGTCGCCTTGACCTACCACTAGAGTAATATTTATACAAATGAGTATCATCATAAAACCTCCACCGCTCATCACCGCTCATCATGCAAGGAGAATCTTGTCGTAGATCCGGATAAGAGCTGCTACTTTTCAGCCTCTGTAATGAGTTATAAGCCGTCCGACTCTGGTCGGACGACGACAAGTAGTGATCATATTCATACCATTGAGCTGATGTGGAAGCGTTTGATCCTCCTGGGACATGTTTGGGATTGGAAGCATCATTAGAGAAGGTGTAATCTTCGTACGTAGTTGGTGCATTGTTATCATTGTTGCTCCTGCTATTCAAATTGCTTAAGAATCCACAGATTATTGCGAAAAGCACGAGTACTAGATTGAGTGAATCCCATGATCTTTTAACCAGTTGAGGCTTGAATAGTTTGGACGTCAAAGACATAAACGAAGGCACGATAAAGAAGACGAAAGAAAATGCAATGACTAACAAGAGGATGATAAGGATATGGGTGTTTAAGAAGAAAGATGAAGGTCGGCGACGGTCACCGCCGCGGTTGTCGGAGGTTTGGAGCCAAAATGGAGCCGGGTCATCACCTTCCCCCATATTTTTCTTTTGAGAGTTGGGGTTTTGGTATTTGCTTCTTGTTTTGGTTATGCCAACGCTATATATAACTTGTAAATGAATGGATGTAGTACTTGATAGTCATGTAAATGATTTGATCGTTCAGTGAACCGTTCATTAACCGTGCGACGGGAAGTTTGTTTATGTGCGTTTATTTATTAAATGAACGAACATGAACAAGATTTTGTGTTCGTTTAATTAAATGAACGAATATGAACAAATGGCTCATTTGTTCATTTACGTTCGAGAACGTTCGTTTATGTTTGTTCATTTATGTTCGAACAGAGGGCAAGTTAAATATGTTACGAAGATTATTGAAGTTGTTTGGATTTCAAGAAGATTGTTTTGTTGAACAAATTAACTTTAAGATTTTATTATGTTCATATAGCTTATTTATTATTTATGTATGTTTTTGTCGTATTCGAACAAATTAACTCTAAATTTGCAGGTTATATTAATGAATTTTAAGTTGTTATTCTTGCTGTTTATTTTTTTTTACATTCGTTTGTTGTGTTCGAATAAGTTTTTTTTTGTTCGTTTATGTTCGTTTATTTTGTTCGTTTATGTTCGTGTTCGTGTTCGTTTATGTTCGTTTATTTATTAAATGAACGAACATGAACAAACTATATTCCTTAATGAACGAACATGAACAAAAATTTTGTTCGTTTATGTTCGTGTTCGTTTATGTTCGTTTATTTATTAAATGAACGAACATGAAGATACATCCGTTTGTATGCGTTCGGTTCGTTTACAGACCTAGTACTTGAGAAGATAAGACATGTTAATTATTTTTATTCCGAAAATGGGGAGTTATAATTACTTCAATTAAGAACAAACGTGATAATTAATTACGATAATAATAATGTTTATAGAGATGCTTTGTTCACAGTTCACATGTTGCGGCTGTCCTTATAGGAATGACAGCGAAAAACTAAGTATACGTATTATTGATGATTTTCCTCAATTGAAATTTGGTCCGTCAATCACTCCTCTACAAATACAATATTCATGGGACAGCAATGGCTACTCTTATAATTATTATTTTAAAAAATGAACATATCTTTTACCTATTTCATGTTAGTAGTCCCTAATTTTTATTTAATTGAGACATGCAATCCACCCTATGTATGTTAAATTTATACACGTTTAAGCAACCTAAGTTATAAAATAAAATGTTATTTTTTAGAGATTTTAAATTCAAACAATTATATTTGTAGGGTGTATACAATTATTATTAATTAATTAAAAAAATTCTAAACATATATTATCTTGTAAGCATCTCAAATTAATACAAAAATCTATATACATTTAACGAGTTTGATTTAAATCAAATCGGTGTCTGCCAAACATAAGATATAATGGCCCAAGGCAAAAACTACTAGACTCAATCTATTTTTCTATTGACAAATTTATCTATATAATTTTTTTCAAAACTCTTTAAGTAAATTAGTAGATTTTTAAATCTAGCGAATGAATGCTTTTAGAAGTCAAAGAGAATGTTCGTTTTCTTAAAAAATTTGAGTAAAAGAAAATGTTTGTGTTCTTAAAAAGTTTGAGTTCGAGCAGTTATGTCTGTAGGATGTGTATACGTTATTAATAGACTGATAAAAATTCTAAATAAAATATTATAATCTATCTATGAAAAAAATGAAAATTAGACTTTTAAGGAAAAATTAACTTTAATTGTACTTATATATATTTAGTAATAACGTAAACGAAGATATGATATGAATTTATTTAGTAAGAAAATAAGTCAATCTGCAGCGTGTGACAGCTAATTATTAGCGAAACCAAATAAAATTAAATAGTGACGTGCGTTGCCTAAAACTTGTAATAATAAGGAACACATAATGGGAAGCAACAAGGAAAAGGCATGAAAATGCAATGCAATATGATAAATTGATGCTTTTGCAGCAAGAAATTAGGGCTTGCAATTCCAGATTTTAGGTAGGATGGAATTATTAGTCCGCAAGACCTAATCACGTTTTATTTCTACATGGAGGTAGAAATGAACCGGGGAGAGTGAATAGGACGGTCTTTTTCTCTAAACTTTTTAAATTTTTATATCTTTAGTCATTTTTTTATATTTCTTTTAATGAAAATACGTTTTTATTTTTAAAATTTTATAAATTCATACTTACTAGCATAAAATCTTATGTTCGTCCCAGTATATAAATATCTTAAAGTAAGATTTTTAATTTTGTCCAGCTATAAGTTGTTCTTCTTATTTGCTTTTTATATGTGGGGATTTCTATTTCTTATGGCAGAATTAAAGGGAGACGTTGGACTCATGCAAATTATTTTTGTTAGATTTGAATGTTTTTGGGAAGGATTTCCGCTTGTGCAAACACCACTCCATTCATAGCTGTATTGTACATTTAGGGTAAATTACTTTTTTTCTTTAACATAATAAATATTTTTTAAATTGACATATATATATATATATTAATATAAAATTTTTGTATTGAGAAAACACAAATAAAATTTTATGACGAGTATAGTCAATAAAATAGGTAATTAAATGAAGACGATTCAGAGACTGTGAATTCGCCATTGCTTTTGACCATTTATCATCAATTTTTTAATTTTATTAATTTGGTCATTTAATTATTTAAATTTTTCAATCAAATTATATGCCATTAGTATTTGATAAAATAATTAACTTGACTGTTAACAAATTTGGTATTTGATCTTAATTTTTATTTAATTTTAAAAATCTAATTATCTAATCGAATAATAATATTTTTTTTTTCTTATACATATCGCTGTTTGATTTGAGATAAAAAATTAAGTGAAGAATGCGCTGAGGGGATTAAACTTGGCAGCCTGGGAAATGGGGAATCTTAACCATTAGCTCAGATCTTACATGTGGTATAAGGATTATGATTTTTTTATATATTTTCGTATTGTAGTTAATAGGAGAAAAAATTGACCAAATGACGATTTAAACTTGAGTCATTTAAAGAGTATGAAAGCTTCTAAACTATTAAAATAAATCTAATAGTTAATTTAATGTTTTACATCGTTTGTTTTTCTTCTTTTTTTCTTTGGTTAATGGTGGCATTAGTTTCGACTGCCAATATTTATTTATTTTAATTTAATTGTATATTTGATTTTTTTAAATTTTTTTAATAACTCTGTCTTTATAACACGTTTTTCTCTGTTTTTATGGTACATTTTCATCTGACTTTTGGTACGTTTCAATCTTTTTTATCGGTTGTTTGGTTGATCTCATCGATTAATAAGGTTGGATTTGATATCATCTCGACTAATCAAGATATCGTTTATCTATTATCGTAATGATCTACCATGCTTTGGACCCTTAGATTGAATTTAGTTATTTAGATATACGATTTACGTTCGGAGATAATTTTCTCATGGCACTTACTCTAAATTCACGATTGTCGGTGATATTTCCTTATTTTGATTTGTTTTCCGATGTAGTCATAACTATTCACATCTTTATTTTGTTCAAGTTTTTTTTATGTATTTTTAACATGGACATATGGAGAGACATACAATCTTATATTAGGAAGGGTGAATTTATAAATTTTATATTAGGAATGACGAACTTTTAAAATTTTAGAAGGTTAAAACAGATCATCAACACAATAAAAATTATAAAAAAATATTTAAAATATATGAAAATTTAAATTTTTCATAAGATGACTATCTCTGCTAACCCTTATTCAATCTATCCCTGACGAGACACCTCAATTATTGCTCTACATCATACTCATGGCTAAGTTCGAATCAACAAGTACTGTCGAACTGTGAATCCCTTCGAGGCTTCGACCATTTAACTCCATTTTCAAAATCAAATACATTAATTAATTTTAAATATGCATTTAAATTTGACATGTTCTTGTCGAGGTTGTGGTCCCTAAAAGTAGAATTATTGAAATTATATCTATTTTATTTGTAATTAGGTTATGGATTATCATCTTCACTTAGGATTTATCTAGAAATTTATTTAAGCCGAAAACGGACTAAGAATTTTGTAAAGAATTAAAATATGAAGATCGAGTACCAAAAGTATGATTTTTGAAATGTCTCTAGAGTTTTATAAAAGACGAATTTTGAAAATAAGCACAAACAATGAAAATTGATATTTTTGGATTAATGAAATAAGGATTTTTAAAAAAATTGAAAATTTTTTCCCCATTGAATAGGACTTAAAATAAATCTAAAAAGACTGAAAACAAAATTCAGATGGAGTTCGTAATGATTCTTATTAATCCGATCTATGTTCAAAGAGGTTTAAAGCCCAAAGTATGCTTTGGACGAACCATGTAAATCTTTTTAAAACTTGATCCATATGCCACGACTAAATTTATCTTAACGATATGATATTAATATTTGTAGGACTTAATTATAACAATTTAAAATTTGAGACTAATTTAGAATTTGAACCACTAAGGGACCGTAGATTGGAATGAACTGTTGTTCGTTTCAGTTTATATCGGAAAATGGAAACCGTAGAGAATGAAAGCCATCCAAAAAGGCTAGCATTGGTGAAAGGAACAGTGCATGGTTAAAGTCGTTGTAAAATAAATTAGGGTAAATTGTTCAGTACCTAAATTATTATTTTTATTCTGTTTTGGTAAGTTTTTTCACAGTAATTTGATTTCTGTATCACATATCCTGTGTTACCCTATTTAGGTAAGATTTTGAAGGAAAAAAAGTTTTAAGTACTAAAATATAATAAAAGTAATAGTTTAGGTACTAAACATGTAGTTTACCCAACTAATTAATGGCAATATGTAAAAAAAAAGTAAATGAATGATGGAATATCACCCAATTTTCTGGTTTAAACTCCCAATAAATTTAAGAGCAAAAAGCAGAACTAATTCCCAACAATGAATCCTTAGTAGCTACAAAGGGTAAGAAAGAAGAGTACATAAAAGTTGGTTGGCAGGATGTTGGTTTTGTTGTTGTCTGGTATTGGAAGCAACCCATAGCTAATATATATATATATATATTGTTCTTTCATGCATGACTTTGAACACAGACCTGCCTCTGGCTCGGATCATGGTGGAAGCATTAGTAATGGAAGAAACCTCCGCATTAACAACCATTGCCATCGACAGGGACAAGAGTAGCCAAATTGCTGTGAAGTGGACGGTGGATAACCTGTTGCATGGCGACTCCAAATGCATCCTTGTTCATGTTCTAAACAAGACCTTACATCCGTGTAGGTATCCCAGTCTTTCATCATGAATGATCATCATTTCATTACTTCCATTTCTTAATGTGTTTTCGACTTTTTTCTTTCACTAAAGACTTTGAAGCTACACCTATAGAATGTCGGTCGCCATCTGAAGCTGAGGTAGAATTATACTTCCTTTCTTCCCGAGGATACTGCCCTCTTAAAGGGTTGAGTTGATCGTTGGCTGATTTGGCCTGAACATTTCTCGTCATTGCCATTGATTCGGTTGATACTGGGGTATTTTCAGGTTGAATTACATGAAGTGATCCTCCATGGGATTGATGTCTCAACTGCCCTGCTAGATTATATCAACAACATCAGAAACATCATTGTCGGCACTTCCACCCGGAATGTTCTTACAAGGTCTTCTTCTCTGCTTATAATTTTCTGCAAATACTAGTACTAGATATGCCTCCTGCTTATAATCTTTCTAACATGATTGCCTTTTTCAGGAAACTCAGAAATCCAGATGTCCCAACCAGCTTGCTCAAATTTGCACCAGAATCGTGCGGAGTATATGTCATATCAAAAGGAAAAGTTCAGGCTTCCCGATCAGCGAGTAGGTCTTGGGCATCTCACGATAGCACAAGCACGAATTCACACAGTTCACGGCATAGGAAAACATTTCTGCCTAAAGGTGCACTTGATAACTCAGAGATTAAAGACTTAAGCAGTAGCAAGTAACATGAAATAAACCAACACCATTACTTCTTGGAGATTCTCAATTAATAGGTACCAAGTCAAAACTAACATCTCTCAAACTTCAAAGACTCTCTATATGATTGTTGGAATTAGAACTAACTCTGATGTCTTAATCCTTGAGAGTTAAGATGGAACATGCAGCATGGCTTGCGACATTGATAGCATAATTTTCTTCCATGGTTAGGGGCAATAGAATCACAACGAGTTCAATTTCGAAAAATGTCACTTAGGCTTCTCCTTGTTCATGTCATTACTGAAAGTAAACGCAAATTATTAACCAATGTTAATGAGATGGCAATAAGAAACTAGGATGAGAAAAGTGAAGATGAATCTTTGCTAATAGTCTACTTAATTTCCCAGGATTTGTTCTAAAGCTCTAGAGATATTTACTCACACTCACACCACTAGCATTGATGCAGATCCCCAACCGACCATTTCGGTGCAGGACCCTACAAAAGTATTTCAAGATGTAAATCCAGAAAATACGGAATAACTCCTGATATAACCAGCGGTTCCTTTCAAGTAAAACCATGCGACCAATTGATGTCAAATAAACAGGTATCACCTAAAGCTTCAAAGAGATGTAAAAGACAAGAATCCCTCTATAGAGTTTCCATACCAGAGAGAACTATTCTTTTAGAGCCACCAAGTAGTCAACCAACCGACCCAACTGCTCACGGTTCAGACAGTACAGCTTACAGTTCCTGCTCTTTGTTCTGCTTGACTCCTGTGAGTATGTTGCAATAAATTCATTAGGAAATTATGTTTGGTCAAACGTAAAAACATACAATGACTTCCAGACATAACTAGTTGGTACTAAATAGATCTTTAAATGTTTTTTTATTAACCCATTACCATATTACTGAGACAGTTCACCCTTTGCATGAGCTACATAGCGAGACTTGAGGTCGGAGATGGGGAGACTTCGAAAAGAATTAGAGATATCCATGGAAATGTTTAAATCAGTTAGCAAAGAAGCTGTTGAAGCGGAATCATATGTGATCTTATCAAACAATGAAACAAACTTGAGCAATAAGTTTCCAGTTTTCTTGACTCCACCTTTTGTTTTCCTAGCTGAGGACACTTCAGGAATGGAAAGAAGCAGAAGAGCACAAACTAAAGGAAGCCAGGCTTGCCGAGGAGGCAGCAGTGGCTTTGGCCGAGGCAGAGAGGCAAAAAACCAAGGCTGCTATGGAAGCAGCAAAGACGGCACGATGTTTAGCAGATATGGAGGTGCGTAAGAGAAAAGTCGCTGAATTGAAAGCCACTCGTGAGGAAGAAGAAAAAAAGAGAGCGCTACATACGATAGCTAACAATAAAGCTTCTTATAGAAAATACACCACTGATGACGTTGAAGCTGCAACGTAATACTTTGCCGGTGAGCATAAGATTGGTAGAGGAGGATATGGACCTGTTTTCAAAGCCACACTTGATCACACTGCTGTTGCCATCAAGGTGTTAAGGCCAGATATGTCACAAGGACAGAGGCAATTCCAACAAGAGGTAACGAAGCTTTTTAATTCTCCTTTTACTCATAGAAATGCACGCAATTTCTCTAGCCAAATGTATTTATAGTGGTAGAATCTTATCTGTTCCTTTTTATCCCTTTTATTTATATTAAACAAATGTTCAATGTAGGTTGAGGTTCTAAGCTGCGCGAGACATCCACACCTGGTTCTGCTCATAGGTGCCTGCCCTGAGTACGGATGTCTAGTATATGAATACATGGAAAACGGAAGCTTAGAAGATCGGCTCTTTCGTAAAGACAACACTCCACCAATACCATGGCAAACCCGGTTTAGAATAGCTGCCGAAATTGCCACAGGCCTTTTGTTCACCAAACAAAGCCAGAACCACTGGTGCATCGTGACCTCAAGCCTGCAAACATGCTCTTAGACCGGAATTATGTGAGCAAGATTAGTGATGTTGGCTTGTCCCAACTGGTCCCAGTCCCAGCAGAAGATGGTGTCTCTCAATATTGCTTAACACAAGCTCGGGGAACATTTTGTTACATCGATCCAGTGTATCAGCAAACAGGAATGCTAGGTGTAAAATAAGATTTATATTCATTTTGTGTGGTTCTATTACAGCTGATAACATCAAAGTTACCAGTAGGACTTTGTGCCAATGTTCAGGAAGCAATCAAGAAAGGAACCTTCGCAGAAATGCTTGATACAGCGGTACCAGATTGGCCTGTTGAAGAGGTTTTATCATCAGCAAAACTGGCTTTACATTGCTGTGAGCTAAGGAAAAGGGATAGACCATACCTAAATTCAGTTGTGTTACCAGAGCTAATTCGCCTCAGGAATCTTGGGCTTGAACATGAAGCCAACAACAGTGAGATTCAACATCAAGCCAACTACGGCAAAAACGTGGCTTCTGAGGCACCCCTTCATAACTCAGTTCTAGAGAATATATCACAAGGAATTCAGGTTAGTCGATGCATGAATATTGCAGTCACTAGTCTATTTTACATCATGCTTTATCAAGAACAAATGACAAACAATCCTAATGTAGAATGGAAATCAAATGTAGATCACTGAAAGAAGCTCACGGAAACTGTTAAAGTCTATGAGCAGAGTGTGGAAGTCCAGCATCCTTCCATCCAACGAAGGATCTTCCGGAAAGTCAAACAGGAAGCATGGTCAACCAAGCTGTTGGTCGTTCGTAAATTGAACCGGACCTCCTCAGCAGTTGGAAAGAGCCGAGTTATTTTCATAGTAGAAGATAAAATTGTTGCAGTGACTGGGAGACATCGAGCCCTGGAGTCATTCTGGTTATATACCTGAAAATTTTACTATTGGCGTGGCACTGGTTCAAACTTTTATTTTCATTATCTCCAATGTGGAAAAGCCTCCTTGGAGGCTTGAAGATGATGTCTTTTGATTATATACCTATCTAATTAGTCGAGCTTATGAATCCCATTTTATTATTTAAAACTTTATTTAAACTTTTTTCGAGTCGCTTCGAATATATTTTTTCGAGTTTCTGTTCAAATGTAAATATAATTATTTATAATGGTATGATACTGATTTATTTGAATTTAAATAACTCTCTCTAACCCCATATATATATATATATACACACTTATTTGTAATGTTATGTAATAAATCAAATGCTCTATGAAATTAAATAATATATTTAAAATGTTATTTCAATAAAAAAAGAATTTTATGGACAAAATATTGATTGTAGTATATATAAGTCAATGAATATATGGGGATAAAGAATTCACACAGAGGAATAAAACAAAATTGAGGGATTAAGTTGTAAAAGGAAGAAACTTATTGTCCAAAAGATTAGTTAAAATTATATAGTTATTCTATTGTTGTTGAAGAGCCTGTGATTCAAATTGGTCAAAAGTGTACTTATAACGAAGAATGAATCGTAGAAACAATGAAATCAAAGACCAAATCAATATATAATCAAACTTGATTAACCATAGACCAAAACAACATCGTTTTAATTTTCGATTATTCAAACAAAAAATTCGAGTTGAATCAAATAATTCATCTCAAATAACTTGATTTTTTTTTAAATGATCTTTACTGGTTGAATTGAGTTTTGAACACCCTACTAGTGAATATTTCTTTAACGGTTGATCTCCATAAATAGTAATTTCGAAATGTTAATTAGTACATAGTGGCACTATTAATGTCATGTTTAAGATAAAAAGAGTAATCGATACTCTGTTTATTTCTTGAATCATTAAAATTAACATCCAGAACCTAACAATTCCAGTAGCACAACAAGAAGTTTACTGGGAACAGAAAGGCTTATGTAATGTGGTTATGAAATCATATTCCAACACAATAAGGAAAAAGGTAAACAGCCAAACCTGGCTGATTGGTAAGCAGTCAATGTATGAATCACAGTACGGTCGTCTGGCTCACAATAAAATATGGAATATCACTCCAAGTTGTTAAAAACGGCTCGAATCCAACGACTGCAAATTAATATGACCATCAAAACTGAAAGGCAAGCAAAAAGAGCAGCAGGGAAAAAGAAGAAATGGAACTAGTTTGCCTCATTTAGAGCGTAGCAATAAGCAAGTTCAAAAATCTAAGTAGTTTATTGTCAACTCTCACATGCATTTCCTTTCACCCTTTTTCCAGTCAAACCATTTTCCTTTGCTAAATCAGGACATATATAGCAATCTTTGTTGTTCTATGATGTCTAGCAAACAATATGTTTGTGTAGACAGAATCAGAGCACAAAGTCACCAGTTTACGGATGGTTACAGTGCATTATAATGTCTATGATCTGAGAGTTGAAGATCTAATTCAAGGCATTAGTGACACATCGGTAAGTTCTCGGGTGTACTGAACACATGCAACCATACACGTTCTAGAGAATCTTGTAAATGAACAGAAAGTTCGGTGAATCGTTCGTAAACCGTTCGTATAACATTTGTTTATGTTCGTTTGTTAAGCTAAATAAACGAGTATGACCAAATTTTCTATGTTCATTTAATAAACGAACGAACACAAATAGAGATGTGTTTGGTTCGTTTATGTTCACGAACAAGCTCGTTCATTTATGTTCACGAACAAGCTCGTTCGTTTATGTTCATTAACAAGCTCGTTTAACGACTTGTTTACAAGCTCGTTTATTTTTATTTTTTTTACATTTTAAATATTGATGAATGTAAGGACTAAATTGAATACAATGTGATATTTGGGGTTTAAACTATGAAGCTTAAGGAGTTTAAGTATCACTGGTGTAATTTTACCATTCTTTAGCTTGCAAATGAGCATGTTCATAAACGCCTAACGAATGTTAAACGAACATGTTGACAAATGCTAAATGAAAATAAGGTTGGAAAAATAACCAACTACAAGACGTACCGATCCATAGTTATATTCTTACGACAATTTTTGATTTGCTTGCAGTATGTGCTGATATCTACAGTTTTGAAGCCAGCTTGGAAAAATAAGGTTGACAAGAAGTCTTCAGAGAAGTAAAATGAACACTAGAGAGAAGAGTTTAACAAACATAGCAAATCAGACAATAAGATGAGGCTTTCCCAAGAAAAGCGAAAAACTATAAATCTGAACTGCACAACATGCTTACAGTTCCATCACCTCGTACATAAAAGCCCTCACTTATCATCTGATTCTTGTTTTCCAGCTTCACCTTATAAAGTGAGAACATGCAACAAAAGAAGAAAAATGCATGCCATCTGAATTAAAATATCATCTTGGATGTAGAAAAAGGTGTCAAACTATGTATAACCCAGAACCAAATCAAGGTTCCAACCAAGTAAAACGGGAAACAACAGATTGAGATGTGATCAATTCCTCTATATCAAGTACCATCGGGAACTAGAACAAAAAAGAATTTATTCGTCTCAAAAAGGCTTGTATTCGTGCAAACCAGAAGAAACATGTCACTGGCATAAAAGGTTGGAACGGAAGAATGATTTATGTGACACGACCAACATGTATCGTAACCCTAGAAATTGGAGTAAAGTGGAGAAGATGTTTGATTATCATACACAACAAACCCAACTTACTTGCGCAAAATCTCCAAAAGCGTAATCCCGCAAGAGAACATAACCATCCGGCTGCAGGCAGATAAAAGCACCCATCTCATTCAGATTGAACATATCCATCCAATCTCCACTAGTAATATCTTATATATATATATATATATATATATATATATATATACCTTTAGTACTCTTTTAATGTTCTGTAGTATCCATGGCATCCTATATGTAGAAACTGCAGACAGCATGAAAATCTGCTTAACATGTTAGTTATCATACGGAGCTGTCCTTGATAAATGGAGACGTGAATAGAACCCTTAAAATAATCAGAAAAAATTAGCAGGCCATTACTTCAGAACCTACAAATCACTGATGGCAACTAGATGCATGATCAGAAGCATCAGAATTGGAGATTTCCAGTAACCTTACCAAGGTAACTACATCAATTGAAGAAGGTTTAATCCTCTCAAGAAGACTGTTGACTGTAACATCACATACAAATGCATTCACCCGATCATCTTTGAACTCTGCATGTGACTGCATTTCAACAGCAAAACTTAGTCCTGCCTAACCATCTAAGAAACAATACATACCGGTTCCTCTTCACACGCTGAACACTACTGTAAACTAAACAATTACTGCGACTAATAATGTTATGAACATAATACTAAGCATACATGCAAGCTATATGCAAATCTACTGTACTAAGCCAGAAATGTTCAGTGACGGCACAAACAATAAGCGAAATAGAAACTATGTCCCAGGTATTCATGTTAAGAAAAGGTCATAAACCTTAACAAGATCGACTGCATGAGGTGAGATATCACAAGCTTGCACATATAGTTCGGGATATGCTGCAATAAGCGGAAATATAGTATTGCCAGCTCCACAACCAACCTGCCAGAAGAAGATGGTCATTCAAATAGGGGTCAGTATTCGATCGAGTCGAATCGAGACAAAAAATTTCGAGTTAGTCGGGTTGACGAGTCCTATTTTATAACTCAAACTTTATTTGAAGTTTTTTCGAGTCGAATCAAGTTTAAGAAATTTGAGTCTAGTCAAGTTGTTCGATTTTCTGTTTAATTTTAATTGTAAATATTTATAATATTATGGTACTAATTAATTCTAATTTAAACGTTTTTCTATAAATATAATATAAATATATGTTTCTTTAAATTTTTTCATATGTGATATATATAATATATATCATGCAGAATAGAGGGATTTTACTTGAACTTGAAAATCAATGCACTAATTACTAAAAATTTCGAGTTATTCAAGTTCTATCTTATAACTCGACTCGAATATTTAAAGAATTTGAGTCAAGTTTATGAAATAACGAGTAGAGTCAAGTCGAGCACTATTTTAACGTCGAATTAAACCATATTAAATTTGAACTAACAGGTAAAATAACATTACTTTAGAAACAATGAAGCATAAAGTGTACCTCTAAAACAACCTTGCCACTTGTGGATTGAGCATCATCAGAAAAGTAGTGACCCCAGTCCTTTTCCAAGTAATGTCTATCTTTGAAGAACTAAAGCAACATAACAGTCAAACTCAAAACCGTTTAATATGCTTTATCTTTTTGAAACGAAACAAATCAGAACGAATAAAAAACTTTCTTAGTAAATTTTCCCAGATAATTTTATATCAAAACAGAATTTCAGAAAAAGGGTTTTCCGAACAGGCTCGAAACAATAAAAGAAAAGAAAAGGCGAATACCTTGTTTTCATGGCGCTTGTAGAATTTGTCCCAGAACTTGCCGGCGTTTTTCTGGTAGTACTCATCCAAATTGGGGTATTTGCGCTCGGCTTGAATGGCCACCGGGCGAATACGTCGGTGGCATTGCTGATGAACGGTGGAATTTGATTGCGTCCAGCGATAATAGCTAGGATTAATTGCTATTGCAAGTGGTACAACAGTCATTATCAGCGTTATCCCGCTTCTGCACTTTTTTCACTTCACTTTGCTTTGCCGAATTGATTTAAACTCCCCTCTTAAAATAAAGGGGTCGTCACTGATTTTTTTTAATAGGTCCTTTAATTTTTAAAATTTATAATATAGTCCTTCAATATTTAGTCCGTTTGTAATATTGTTTCTGCCGATAGCATGTTTGCAATATGGTTACTGAATTTTTCAGACGCTTGTACTTAAGTCTCCCAACTTTTAAAACTTATAACACAATCCTCAATTTCATTTTAAACCCTAAATTTCTTTTCGATCTCGAATTTCCTTTTTCACTCCTCTCTTCTCATTTCCAGCATAACTTTTTAATCAGGGGTGTATGGGAAATTATAATCTAACTTTGAATTATGTGGAGGTGTTGACTTGAATAAGGGTCCATTGATAGAAGACCCGACCAAGGGACTATCGGGACCATCAACGATTCAAGGTGTAATATTAGATACAGGTCATCTCAGGTGAAGCGTAGATGTTCGATGAAATGCTTGTGAGAAAAGAAATGGGATTAGAAATACAGAGTTGATAAATACTACTAAGATGAACTAAGTATCCTTGTTGAAAGTCACCAATAAAGATGGAATTATTTTGTATAAATGGCATATGTTAATTTCTTCGTTTAATCCTTGGGGTTAAAGATTTTCCAACAGATGATCAAATATAATGAAATCTCAAACAGCGCATTCACCTCTCAGTCTCTTTCGCTCACATGCAATCTCGTTTGGTTTTTGTTCTTCAATTTTCCGCCATGTAAAATTGTAAACCCAAGCAATTCTTTGTCTTTCAATTTTTAGTTCGCGACTGTGGATTCTTTGTAAATAAAAAGCTGAAAGACAGAGCATTGCTTGGGTTTACAATTTTACATGGTGGAAAATTGAAGAACAAAAAAAAACAAGAGTGCATGTGAGCGAAAATCTTTAACCCCATTTTTTGATCATTTGTTGGAAAATCTTTAACCACAAGGATTAAACGAAGAAATTATCATATGTCATTTATACAAAATAATTCCATCTTTATAGGTGACTTTCAATAAGGATACTTAGTTCATCTTAGTGGTATTTATCAACTCTGCATTTCTAACCCCATTTTTTTCTCACAAGCATTTCATCGAACATCTATGTTTCACCAAAGATGACTTGTATCTAACATTACACCTTGAATCGTTGATGGTCCCGATAGTCCCATGGTCAGGTCTTTTATCAATGGACCCTTATTCAAGTCAACACCTCCACATAATTCAAAGTTAGATTAGAATTTCCCATGCATCCCCGACTGAAAAGTTACGCTGTAAATGAGAAGAGATGAGCAAAAAAGGAAATTCGATATCGAAAAGGAATTTGGGGTTTAAAATGAAATTGAGGACTGTGTTGTAAGTTTTAAAAGTTGGGGGACCTAAATGCAAGCACCTGAAAAGTTCAGTGACCATATTGCAAATGTACTAACGACAATGTAACGACGAGAACCATATTACAAACGGACTAAATGTTGGAGGGTTGTATTACAAGTTTTAAAAGTTGAGGGACCTAAATGAAAGCTTTAAAAAAGTTTAGTGACCATTATTATACTTTATCCTAAAATAAATTATAAGAATGTTCATTTTTGTTTCAATTTTGTTCACTTTTAGTTATTAATTTAAACTATTCTTTACTTTAGTCATGTACATTATTAATTTATTATATTTTTATCATTGAGTTATTAATTTTCTTTAGTTTGATGATATGAAATGTTAATAAAAGGGTTTAACTTTTGATTTGAATCCTGAGATTTAGATAAAAATTTAATATAATCTTAAATTTTAAATAAAATATCAATCTAACTCTTGAATTTTAGATAAAATATCAATTTAACCTTAAACTTTAGATAATATGTTAATTTGACTCTTGAATTTTAGATAAAACTTCAATTGAGCCTCTGAATTCGACCAAACCCCCCTCTATTGGCCGTTGCTTACCACTTTTTCAACTACCATTGATTGTCATCACAAACAAACTTTCGACTATAAATTTTTAATTCACTTCTTTTTTACTTCTTGAAACCAATCTAATGTCCGTTTCATTAAAACATATTCTAAACTCTACAAATATAACCTAAAACCTTTGATTTTTTTTTTAAATCAGACCATAATAATAAATTTATTAATAGTAATTTTAAAAAAATTAAATTTAAAATTATATCATAATCAAATCTATAATTATTTTATTTATAATAATGTTATGTTATAATTCTTAAATTGTAATTGCTTCGATAATAAGTTTTTAAGGATAATTTTGTTTTCAATGTTTGACAAATTGATTTGAAAAAACAGAGAAAAACTTGAATGGGAAATCACATGTTTACCCATCGTACAAATCATCAAAAAATTGTTTTGTTCTTTTATGTTGCATTGCAGGAGTTGGCCATTATTTCGAGCTTGAGAAACTCACAGCTTAAATTTTTATAATACATTTGCATAAATGGGATATAGGATAAATAAGGAAATTCTACAGTGCCCACAGCCTTAATATAAGGTTAAAAAAATGCGTTAACAGTTTTTTTTTATTATTTTTTATCAAAATCGGTAAAAAATTACCTAAAATATTATTATTTCTACCTAAAACATTAATGTTTTTTAACATTTCCGTTAAAGTGCCCAATAATAACAAAACCAGTAGAAAAAATAACAAAATCGATAGCGCTTTACATGATATATTAACAAAACCGGTAAAACACCCAATAATAACAAAACCAGTAGAAGTAATAATGTTTTCGATAATTTTTTACCGGTTTTATTAAAAAATAATAATAAAACCGATAACTTATTTCTTTAACCGTATATTAAGACTGCCTCACGTGAGACTTTTTCAGATAAATAAAGTGCCAACTTAACTAGTGCTTGCAAAAAGCACACATGTTGCCTCCAAAACCAACATGCAAAAAAGTTTTAAAAAACACTCTCAAATGCCTTATTAATCAACACCAACCTTGAAATAACCCAATTTCTTTTGTTCTCTTGACCTTGTTTAGCAACATAAACTAGACGAGATAAATCAATAACTATTAGAGATTATTTTAGTAAAAATTCGATCAATACTCGAAACGAATTGATTTAACTTGAATTTGAATTTTTAACGAGTCGAAATGAACTACTTAATACCCGACTTGAAAAGCTCATGAACAACTCGAAAAAAATAATATTATTAAACTTTTAGATTTTTCAAATTAAATTATTATTAATATTAACACTTATATGTTGTTATTTTTTTAAAAAAAATACAATATAAGACTTTCATGTACTTGAGGTTTAAGTTTGAGTTCGAGTTTGAGCTTCAATCAAACCAAGTCTAAGAATGTTTTGAGTTCAAGTTTTTTGAACTCGAGCCGAACTTCAATTTTTTATTTCAAGTTAAGTTTGAAAATTTTAAACTCACGAACTTTTGAATTGAGCTTCACAATTTTAAGCTCGCGGATTTTTGAATCAAGTCGAGCTCTGTTTTAAACTCTTTGAATTGAGTCAAGCTCAACAACATTCGTGCTCAACTCGATTTGTTTATAACCCTAGCTTTGTTTGTGGTCAGTGACGGATGTATAAAGTCATATATGGATACAATTGCATACCCATTATTTTAAAAAAGTTATTAAATTTAGTTTAATGTATTAAATAAAAAAAATTGCACACCTGTTTTCTTAAAAAATAATATTATTAAAACTTTAGAGCTCCAATTTTAAATTTATAGATTCGTTATTGCTTGTGGTCCTTCACCAGATGGCATGTTTGGTCTTGCTCCTCTGTGGCCTTAACCCATTGTCTCAACTCTCATGTTCTTGTGATGTTAATTCATTCGATATTTCTCTGTTTCGATGGAAGTCACTGGCGAACACAAAGCTCTCTTCTAGCATGGAGCTCTTATGAGATGGGTGACTATGTGGGATGAAAGACTGAATTGCGAGGCTTTTTGTTGCCTACAGGTTTGGGTTGTGAACCAAGCTTTTGTTACTTCCTGGGTTGATTTGTTTGGATATTAAATTCACGTTTGAGAGATTAAAAAGGGGTGAATAAAATTTTTGGGTTCAACGACAATCAATGGTGATCACCTGACTGATGATGATGTGGTGACCAACGATATAAATTTTGCTTGGGTTTAAGGGTCGAATTGATATTTTATATAAAATTTAAAGGTTAAATTAATATTTTTATTTAAGTTTTAAGTCAAATTAATATTATATCTAAAATTCAAGAATCAAGTTAAAATTAAAATATTTTTAATAACATACCATGTCAGTAAAGTAACTGGAGTTAACGGCCAATTGATTAAAATAAGATGGACAGAGAAAAAATGACTAAAATCATTTTTTTAAAATAGGTGATTAAAATTGAATAAACCAAAAATATAAGGACCACCAGTGTTGATTACCCTTTCTTAAAACATTAAGAAAATATCATTGAAACAGTAAAACTATAGGAATAAGATTTTATTATTGTTATTTGATTTTATTGTGATATTTTTTAAATGTTTGATCAATTTTAATTATTTTGAAAAATATTAAATTTTGATGAATATGTTTAAATCAGTTCCAAACTATTATAGAACCTCCCTTCTCTTTTCTGTTTTCAAAGAGCAAACCCAATCGTGGTGACTCCGACTCAGAAATAGACCCAAACACCCGACTTTACAACCCATACCAAGACCTTAACCTTCAAGTTCCCGTAAACAACCTTTACAAGCTGCCGACCTCCCCGGAGTTCCTCTTCGCCGAGGAATTCCTCCGCCAGCGCCGTTCTTGGGGCGAAAATCTAACCTTTTACACGGGTTCCGCTTATTTAGGCGGCTCCGTAAGCGCCGCATCCGTCGGGCTCTTCTCGGCGCTCAAGAATTTCGAGCAAGGCGATACATTGAAGCTGAAAATCAATCGGATCTTGAATAGTTCGGGTCAAACGGGTCGGTCATGGGGGAACCGTATCGGGGTGGTGGGCTTGATTTATGCGGGGATGGAGAGTGGGGTGATTGCAATGACTGATCGCGATGATGTCTGGAGTAGTGTGGCGGCGGGTATCGCAACCGGAGCTGTTTGTCGGGCTGCGAGAGGGGTGAGGTCTGCTGCGGTTGCCGGTGCGCTTGGTGGGTTGGCGGCTGGAGCAGTGGTTGCCGGGAAGCAAGTGCTGAAGAGATATGTGCCGATTTAAAAAATAAAGGAGCAATTTTCAGTGAGTGGATATGTCCTTAAATTGAAAATTTTGATGATGGTGGATTAACTGGTATTGGAGAAATTTAATTCGTCTAATATGTGAAGTTCATGTCACGAATAAGCTTCTTATTTCATTATAAATGGATCAAACTCTTTTTCCTTTATGCTCTGTTTATATCATTAATGGTAATTAGTGTTCCTCGTTGATAATATATTTTAGCCTTGGTGGGGCAAAATCTCCATGATATTGTTTCTATTTAGATCTCTATGCATGGATGGAAACTTTGTTTACACATGTTTATGCTGTTAATAACAATTCATCGTCACTAAAATCGTTCGGCTCATGCTGAATCGTTATATTTAGTTATATTTAATGATAGGCTTAAATGCACCATTACTCCATAAAATATGTCATTTATAGTGAATTACCTCATAAAGTAAATTGTTATCTCATTTGTCTCAAATCGTTAACTCTCTTAAAAATAACAAGACTAAATTACACATTTAGTCACTCAACTATTTTAACGATTCTATTTTGACCCCTATTTATTTATTTATTTTCAAAATCATCATTAAACTTAATTTTTATTATGTTTTGGTCACTTAATTTGATTCGATTTATTTTTTAAATTTATAATATATAAGAGTTCATTTATATAAGAGTAAAATTAATATATAAGAAATCATTTTTATCTTTTTAACATATAAAATATTTATCTCTAATATTGTAGCTTTGAATTAGTTGAATATTTGAAGAACTACTACTGCTATCTCATTGCTGATCTTAGCTCAGAGTTGTCCTCCATCTGCCATTGTCATTTCCAGCACAACCCCAAAAAATAATAAAACAAAGCCAGCAAGAAAACAAGATAAATGTTGAGAAAATTTGGGATTACGGTTTGAGCCAAAACAATTTTTTTTTAGAAAATGAATAGTACCTTGAGATTGAACGAGTAAAGAACATATGATTGAGAAGTAGTTTTGTTGAGGTGCAAAGCTTTTAATCTAAGATTTTCCATGATGACAATGGCTTGCACCAACTCAACAACTCTTCTTGGACACTTAAATCTTTAAGTTGACATGATTGCATTATATTAACCTCAACTTCAGCTGCACCTGATTTATTTTTTGCTTGTATTTCACCTCCGCAGTTTCCATCTTCAGATTCCATGGCAAATTTTGACATGAAATTATCACTAATATTGTTGCTTTCTTCTAAACCTATCATTGTCTTCTGTGCTTCTATGGATTGAAAATTTGCTCAAGCTCCTTAACGAAGTTAATTACACCCACTATAACCGACGATTGGCCACCCTGTAAATCAAAGCCAAAACATGGTTTTCGTTAAACAAAGTATTAACAGCGGGACTAAAATTTAGGTCAAGGTTAGAATAATATACTCTTTGGCTCTGGACGCCAATGTGGGTCATGCGTTGGCTCTCGACTTCTTCTTTGTTCTTGGCTGCCTTCGTTCGTTTTCGCTTCTGTCGTTCTCTACTCTCTAGTTGCATTAGTGGATTTTGTGAAGATTTTCAAAGGCGAGGACAACCTCAAGTTGTTGCGTTGTCTACAACAGTTGTCTGCTGCTGTTGAGTTTGGTTGGTCTTGATTCGACTTGGTGTTGAGAACTTTAAAACATGCACTTGAAGGGGGGCTTGTCTTAAGGTTTTTGGTCTCGTATTTGACAGGTGAATGCGAGTCTAGTAGTATTTCATGGGTGACGCAGCTTTTTAGTTCCATGGCTTGAATTTGAGTTTCCATTTCCGGATCGAAAAGGATTGTTGTTTAGCTCCCATGGTTTCTTCAAGTGTTGCAAACACAAAAGGGTCTGGAAATTTGGTTCTCTAAAGGCAAAATGCCGAGGGGATTCTATACTCTGAATCATTTGAAGAAACGACATTTCCTCTTCTAAGCTTGGTGTTGAAAACTGTGCTTCTTCTTCTTTTTCACTAGTTCATAAAGCATTGTTCAAAGTAGAAAAAAATAGTTGAACGATGATTTTGAAAAAATAATAATAATGGGGACCAAAACGAAATCATTAAAATAGTTGAGTGACTAAATATGTAACTTATCATTGCCGTTTTTAACAGAGTTAACCGTTTAGAACAAACAAAATAATGATTTAAACTTCAGGTGTCAAAACGTCCCGAAAAATACTTTAGGGACAACATATACAAATGATATACTTTAAGAGGCAATAATACATTTAAGCCTTAATGAAATACTTAACTAGTTAAACTCAGTTACAACTTTTTATAATTATATCAATACAAAAGTATATATATTTATGTGGATAATAAAATTAAAAAAAATATTTGGCCTTGTTTGTATTTGTGAATAAACTCACAATTGTATTGATATAATTATCATAAGTTGATAAAGAATCTAAAACTACTACAATCTATGCTTATTATAAAACATTTTTTGTTGTTACTCTCTCCATTCTAAGGTTTCATCTTAATTTAGATCGATCCACGTTACACACCTGATTTTAATGGACGAGTCTTTCAGAAATGATTTTCTACATTTACACAGAATCAAACTCAAGACATAATTAAAATATATATCTTTTAAATAATAATTATTATTTTTATGAGGGTGTATTTATTTTTTTCATACTTTCACATAATCTTTATAAAATACTAATTAAACAATATTAATAAAGAAATCATTTACCACTACACTTATAATCAGTTATTAATAAAAATTAAAGATATATATTTTATATGAAATATTTTCGTATATCTACTTATTAAAAAAATCAAAGACTAAGGGGATGTTTGTTTGCCTCTTAATGGAATCATTTAGCGCTGAATGCTGAACCGTTCAACATTCAGCGTGTTTGTTTCGCACCTCTGAATGAAATAATTCAGTGCTGACTGATTCAACAAAACAATGCTGAATGATTTAGAGCCATTATCAAGCAACATGTCACATTCAAAGCTAATTTATACAAAGCCTCTAAATCATTAAACATTTGAATTATTCAGTGCTTAATCATTCTGAAGTAAACAAACAATCCCTAACAAAATCACAATTATATTGGTAAAATTATCATAAGTTTGATAATAAAATCCATCTGTTTTACAAAAATTGAGAAGCAGGCCCTTCTAATTTAATTTGTAGAATTTCATTCTCATACTTTATAAAAATTTAAAAATTAGTTCAGTTACTAGTAACACATTAACTTGAATTGTATTTGAACGGATAAACGGTTATTTTTTTTTATTAATTTATTACATTTAAATTATTAAACTATTAAATTTCAGTTTATTAATGTAATGAAATTTTTTATTAGAGTAATATAATTAGACTATTTTCTTAGTTTTGGAATTTAGTATAGGAATTATATTCTGACAAACTGAAATAAAAGTATTAATTTCTCGATTTTAAACTCGAGGGATGAAATTTTATAATTATACGAAAAGAAAAAGGTGGAGATAGTTGCAACGTAGTAGTAGAAAAGGGTTGTAAAACTTAAAACACAAGTTTGCTTTGTTCGCCTCTTTGTTTTTTCCCTTCAAACTCCACGACGCTGATCCGAGGAGTTTGGGAAACCCTAACACTTTCTCTCAAAAATCTCAACCGAAAAAGCCTCCAAAAGAAACAACCCTCTTTTCCCTTTTCTCTCTTCAACAAGTCCACTCTAGCCTCCCCTAAACTCATCTTTTTCTCTTGCGCCCTCTTCATCTGAGTCAAGGTTGCTTCTTTAGTCTCTCTTTGTTTTTGCTTGGGTTCTTCTTTCATTTCATTTCTTTCCTGTTGTTTCTGTGGTTTGTTGTTGTTCTTGGATTTTATTTGATGTTTATTGTATTCAGTTCTACTACTTAGGATCTGGGTTTGGGCTGTTTCCTTTGTATATTTTGGATTTTTTTTGTTTCTGCTTAGCTCTCACCAACTGGCGTTACCTGCGCTTCCGTGACGTGTTGTCAGCACTGGGGTTTACGAGCAGTGAGGCTTATGTATATGATTTGTGGAGTTGTTTTTGTAAATTTGATTGCTTTTTGTAGTTTTTTTTTATTTGAGAGAAGATCAAGTTTGAAGCTTTTCTAGATTAACCAATGCTACATTTGTTTCTGGAAAGGGGGAAAACCGTTGCCTGGTGAAGAAGAAGGGAATGAAAATGAGTTCTTATGCTTTGTATTTTGGACTCCAAGTCTGAGCTGTTTTAGAACTGTTTTTACTTGATCTGATTGTGACTCAGATGAAGAGATATTTGGTAGTTCTCTGAGTATGCAATTCATGTTTTTTGGCCAAGGAAAACATTTTGATGCTAAAGATTTTATAGTTCAGTTTGGTATGTTGCTTTGGTTTAATGTGATGTTGGTAGTATTTGGCAAGCGTGGTATGTTTTGATGTCACTGTTTGAATATATTATAGCATGTTGTCTGGCGTTAGGATTAACTGACCATTCCTTTTGTATAAAAACCTGCTTATTATCTATATTACTGCTGTATTGGTGATTGCTGTTTGCTCATCCATAAACGTTCTGAATGCATAAAAATGCATGCGTGGAGGTTGCTTGTTTTTCTAGAATTTGAACAATTGTGCAAACTAACCGGTATGATGATTATAAGTCACAATACGGTTTCTTTTGTTTGTTTTTTATGTTGAAATATTCATAGATTTAGTAATAACAATGTGTTCAAAGTTAAAACATTTTCCAAGTCCTGAACTAGGGTGAATTTTTTAGAGGTAGGCAATGTGGTTCCATATTTAACGGATTTATGATCAAAATATCTGATATCCCTCTGCCTCGTATATCTTTACCTGATTCAAATCAGAAGTTAATGCGTGTGATCCTCTTTATCCTAGTGTTCAAGTTTGGCTCTTTTGTTACATATTTTGCTAATATGAAAATCCTTTGGTGATTAATGCAATTAAAAAGTTCTCAAAGATCTTGTTTTTTGGTATTTGTGTATTGGTCAGTTATATTTTTAGTCTGAAACTATAATTTTTGGCTGAAGATGCAACTATGCTTAATAATCTTCATACTTTCTTCCTTCTGCACAGTATGGCAGGTTTGGCACCAGAAGGATCTCAGTTTGATGCTCATCATTATGATCAGAAAATGGATGAGTTGTAAGTTTCTTGGTTTTAGACCACTTGCTTTTCTCCCTTTGCATATATTTGTATTTCTCTGAGTGGAAAAAAAGGAAATTTTATTTGCTTTACAAGTTGATGATGCTCATATGGCAAATTGCACAGGCTCCAAAGAGATGGACAAGATTTTTTCACTAGTTATGATGAAGTTTATGATACTTTTGATGTAATGGGACTTCTGGAGAACCTTCTGAGGGGTATCTATGCGTATGCTATGCAGTACTTTGGACAGAAAACCATAAATTTTGTAGTCTTCTTCTTTAAATGCTTCAAGCACCATAAGTACCATTTGTTTGTAACTAGGTTTTGAGAAGCCTTCTGCAATTCAGCAACGAAGAATTGTTCCATTCTGCAATGGTCTTGATGTAATTCAGCAAGCCCAATCTGGAACTGGGAAGACAGCAACATTCTGCTCTGGAATTTTACAGCAACTTGACTATGATGTAGTGCAATGCCAGGCTCTTGTTTTGGCACTGACAAGGGAATTAGCACAATAGATTGAGAAGGTGATGCGGGCTCTTGGTGATTACCTTGGTGTTAAAGTTCATGTGTTGGTGGGATTAGTGTTCGTGAAGACCAGCGGACTCTTGAAAGTGGTGTTCATGTTGTCGTTGCTATCCCTGGTCGTGTGTTTGACATGTTGAAAAGGCAGTCACTTCGTCCAGATTATATTAAGATGTTTGTCTTGGACTAGGCTGATGAAATGCTTTCACGTGGTTTTAAGGATCAGGTTTGTTATTTCATCTTTCAGTCTTCCCTTTTAATGATTTTGATTTCTGAAAGCTTTGGTTATGAAATTTTCTGCTCTATTAATTTTGTCATGTCTGTCAGATCTATGATATCTTCCAGCTGCTCCCAGCCAAGATTCAGGTCGGAGTTTTTTTGGCCACAATGCCAGCTGAAGCCCTAGAGATTACTAGGAAGTTCATGAACAAACCTGTGAGAATTTTGGTTAAGCGTGATGAGCTAACTCTTGAAGGTATCAAGCAGTTTTATGTGAATGTTGAAAAGTGATGAGCTAACTCTTGAAGGTATCAAGCAGTTTTATGTGAATGTTGAAAAGGAAGAGTGGAAGCTTGAAACGCTCTGCGATCTCTATGAGACCCTTGCAATCACCCAGAGTGTCATTTTCGTGAACACAAGGCGGAAGGTTGACTGGTTAACTGACAAAATGCGAAGTCGTGACCACACAGTCTCTGCGACCCATGGAGACATGGACCAGAATACTCGTGACATCATCCTGCGTGAATTCCGTTCTGCTTCTTCTCGTGTTCTCATCACTACTGATCTCCTTGCTCGTGGTATTGGTGTGCAGCAAGTCTCTCTTGTCATAAACTATGATCTCCCGACTCAACCAGAAAACTACCTCCACCGCATAGGAAGAAGTGGAAGGTTCGGAAGAAAAGGTGTTTCCATAAACTTTGTGGATAATGATGATGAGAGAACGTTGTATGATATCCAGAGGTTCTACAATGTGGTCTTCGAGGAGCTGCCACAAAACGTTGCCGATCTCCTCTGATGAATTTACGGCTTCAATGATTGTTGAGGGCAAGGCGTTTTGTTTGTTCTGCAAGTTCTATTTTAAGGTGCATTTTTTACTTTATCTAGCTTCTTAATGTTATTAAACATATTTGACCTTGTAATCATATATGGGTCTGCACAATTGCTACATAAACATTGTCCAGTTTTTCCTACTATGGGTTTATGTTGTTTCAAGCTTTGATGCAGCTAACTAGGATTCTTTTTGGATTTTTTGTCTTCTTTGGATTTCATCCTTATAAATTATACAACATTGCCTGGATTTTATTCTCACCCTATATGCATATTGGTGGTTAAGGTTTTGATTTTTTTGTTGATATAACCACTTAAATTCGATCTATTATTCAATTAATTCAGATTGATACTGTAGAGACTTATTAAGAAGTGAATCCTTTTAACGTAATTTGCTTTATTCATAACATTCGAATTCAAATTCTTAACTTTGCTTAAAGAATTTAGTATATCGATTCACTAGACCAACTGGTTATTGGTATGTGGTGAGACTCTTTGCATGCCCAACATATCAACAAGGCCTTCTTTGTGATTCCTCTTTTCTCTCCGATCAAAGACATTGACATAATGAAATATAAAACATCACGACGTGTAACTAATCTGGGGAATTCATCAAATAATGAGTTGAACGACGACGATAAGAGAGAGTACTTTTGAATTTTTTATTGTGTTTGGTGAGACTGAAGCAGAAGAGAGATGGAAGAAATCATTTTGATGATGAAGACAATCGAAAAAAAGTTGTCGGAGCAACGACGACAGGCAGTGACGGTTTAAAGTTAGTTTTGGAGTGTTTCTTTTTTTTAGAAAAATTGAAAAAGGAAACCAAAATTACGTCGTTCTACACCTATAAATTTTATTTATTTAATAGTAAATTGAAAACTTAAATGACATTTGGCGTAATTTACCCAAACAATTAGTAATTGGATGAGGGGCAAAGTAAAGCTATAACTACCACCTTTCTAATTCTTATTCGCAAACTTTTTTTCAATAAATACAGTAAAACATTAAATTAACTTCTTATTAGAATAAAGCTTATATGCAAAGTAATCAAAATTATTCTAATTAGAAATCAAAAAGTATGATTTTATATTAGAGATTATGAACTTATAATATTATTTTAAGAAATAAATTTATAAAATTTTGAGAAACAAGAAACATATTATCGATAAAAAAATGTTTAAAAAATTAAATTATAAGAAAATTTAAAATTTTTAATAAATAATTGCCTCCTTTTCTCCTTCACAACCACCACATCTTCACTCTACAATTCCATGGAGGATTTTAGATCCAAATCATACAGGGATGGGGGGATGCAGATGGAGAGTTACTATGGAGGAGGCCCTACCAGCATGCAAGACTTGAGGTGTTACAGTGCTAGCTATGCCACTAACTCTGTTCATGTCCAACCCAGTCAGCTTGGCAAAGAGATTAAGATCAAGAAAACCAAAAGCTCTCTTGCCTCTTCTTCTTCTTCAAAAAGCTGGGGCTTTAATGACCCTGAGTTGCAGAGGAAGAAAAGGGTTGCTAGCTACAAGGTTTACGCAGTCGAAGGCAAGATGAAAGGGTCTTTAAGGAAGAGCTTCAGGTGGATCAAGGACACCTACACCCAAGTTGTCTATGGCTGGAGGTGATATTTGCCTACTCTTCTTCTTCTCCTTGGGGTCTGGGTTTTACTATATCGATGTTGCTGAGAAAAACTGGGATTTGGAATCTTTAACAGAAATTTAAATAGCGTTCGTAGTAATATTTTTTATCGTGTCATATTTATCACAGTTATAGATATAATAGATACGGTCATTGTAAATGTCGCGGTCATATTTTTTTTTTAAAATTTAGTACAATTTACCTTAAAACATAATAATTATAATTATAATTATAATATTAAAGAGAGACTAAAATGGTAGCAATTTGAAAATTTAACGAGTAAATTAAAAAAATTTAAAATTAAATGAGAAAATAGGAGAAAATAAAAAGTTAAGTGATAATTTATGTAGTTTATTCTAATTAAAAAGAATAGAAAGTTAAGTGACTCGAATCACCGCATTTAGTGCCTTCTCAAGTCATCTCCTACCTTCTTCTCTAACCATCTCATACCTCCTTTCATTCCATCATATTCTTTTCCTTCCCCAAACAAATGAATTAAATGAGTTTCACCAGATCGTTATATTAAATTAAAATTCTCTTTTATTCTATGATTTTTCAATCCACGTAAAATGGAGGAAGCAACCGTTCCAATGTAGTGTTTTCATACTTTCATTTTTGACTCCTTGTCTCCTTCCCTGTTTCCTCTTTGGACTCCAATCTTTAATCGTTTATTTTCTCACGGATCACGATTTAAGTTTGACCGATTGAGCACATCTCTTTCTCTTTGGTCTCCCCTGCTTCTGATTGTTTTTTTTTCATTTAAAGTCACGGTTGAATAACAGAGATAACATCCCGTTATCGACGTTATTTACCGTTAAACGCTAAATTACGACCGCGATAGACCGTTATTGGTGTGAATCCGTTACCTATCCCAAAATCGTAAAAACCGGTTGTTGATGACTAGGCTACCATAATATCACGACAGCTGTCGTGTTTTCGATCCATAATTTAAAACCCTGATCTTGAATAGGAAGAATTCCTGAATCTTATATACAGCTATCAAATTATATATGCGTGCTTATCTGGTTGTATATCAATGCTTCTTGGTTTTGAGTTTCTGAAGTGGGGTGCTATTAGTCTTGTCAAGATCTTGTCATCTAACAGTGTTCATGATTTTGAGTTTGAATCATGAGAATTTGTTGAAGATTAGTTTTTACACTTGTTTTGTTGTTGTAATTGAAAGTAGTTTTCAGATTCTTTTCACCATCACCAAACTAAAAGATGTTGAATACCAGGAAAAAAACACACATTTATCATCATGTTGCTATGGGAAAAAAAAATACTGACATGTAATAGAAAAAATAATGACTTGCTTCATTCCCTCTTTTTTCTTCTTTACATCAACAGATTTTCAACATTGTTCATTCTTGCAGAGTGACAGATTATTTTCACAGTTTAAGAATTCCTTTTTGTATGTGTGAAGTAGTGTACATTCAGTACAATCAGTGGAATCATAATCTAAAGAGATCAATAAATGGATAGTAATAGTAAGAAAAAGACCCCTAAAGATCTTCAAAAAAGGCTATTGTTTTTTATGCATCTTCGATCGAAGCTGCCTGATCTTCGCCTCTACACGTGCGGTGAACCCGATCTTGGTTTTCTGTCTCGCCTTCAATTGTTCCCTCTTCCACATGTGTTGATCCTCCACGTCTTTCCTGTAGTACTTGATCTCTTGGATGATGTGATGATCCATAGGCTTCAAACATCTTTGGTAAGCTATATGAGCCATGTAAGGGAGGTTACAGGTGACTGCCACCAAGAGGGTGGTTGTCCAGTAGATTGGTGCAGGAGCAAGGGCTTCCACTAGAATTTGGTAGGCGTCGCGGGAGATATCAGGAGATAGCGCACCATAAACCGCAAGAAATAGATACCAAGTGACAATGCTACCCCATATTGTGGCGTGTTGGATCCATGTGAAGTGGCTCATTGTGAGCACAATCTGGATGTTGAGAGACCAAATGATGCAGGTGAACATTGTTGTACCCAAGGCTGTCATATCGGCAGTCTGGCCGCCGATACAGAAAGCTTGGTTATAGAAGATGACAATGTTGAGGAAGAAAATGATGAGAGATGCCAATAGGCCGTTGCCCATCCACCCGAGTATTCTATACCAGTCGAAAAACAAATTCCTCGGTCCTTGTTGATATATTGCAGGAAACTGCAACAGAAATGTGGAGGCAAGATCTTATAAGTGAAGTCTAAACCATAACATGGATGAATTGATGTCGAAATAAGCATTTACAAACCAACCTCTAAGCAGACCTCAGAAGAAACGTCCTGCTCAAGAACTCCTAGTGAGATCACCGGCAATGAGGTAAGAACGACGTTGAACAACAACATGTACCAGTCATCGTAAACTGATTGTCCGGAAAAGCCCGTGAATGCCTCGAAGTAAAAGAGGGTGAGGCCAAATGCTATATTCTTGTAGAAGAAATAGCAAATCTGAATCCAAAATACCAAGTATTAGTAAAGCAAGCAAATTGAAACATTAATGCGCGGAATCCCTCTTTATTACCATCTGTGCAATCCTCTTATAACACCAATGTCCATGGACAACAAGAAGTCTTTCCAAGAAACGAAACTGGGAGACAGAGAAGTCACTAGCCATTACAGCCTGCAAAAGGGAAATAACTGCATGTGAGAACTAAATAAAAGATTCATTTGCTAGTATCATTAGAGGAATATATTGAAACTGTAGGAAGAGTGAGTTACCAACCTGCATACCTTCCACACCACTGATGCCAACTCCGATATCGGCTTCTTGAATCATTCCAACGTCATTTGCACCATCACCAATCGCTAAGGTGGTCTTCCCAGTTCCTTGTTTTACTAATCTTGTTACCTGGTGCCAAAAAAGAATGAGAATACACACTCAGGGACACCACCTGATTTGATCCAATAGAAAGTTAGAAAATAAATCTTACTAGTGCTTTCTGCTTCGGAGACACACGACAGCATATGACAGATGCACACCGAACTCCTAAGTCTAAGAATCGATGTTTCATATCATCTTCCAAGGCATATACAAGAGTCTTTCCATCAATGATTAATGCAAATGAAGCATATGGATCTTTTTCTTCTCTGATCGTTTGTGAACCATTGTTAATTTGCTTCAATATGTCCACTTTAACCTCCTGATCAGTAACATAAAAGCAACAGAAGTCTAACATCAAATGCTATCGATTTCCCGAAGAAAAATTCATGTCCTCCTTTACAGAGGAGTACATACCTCTTTGACATCTGAATCGGTCGCTTGAATACAGATCTGCTTCATGCCTTGTCTTAGCAGACTGCAAGCATATCTGCATCACAAAGAGGAACTTGTCCTTTCAGGTTTCCATTAGTAGAGGAAATAACGACGAGAGAAATGACAGGAGACGAACCCTATATTTATAGCAGTTTCCATCTTGTCTCCCGTCAGAACCCAGAGCTTCAATCCGGCTTGTGCAAGTTTATCAATACATTTGGGTACCTGATATGAAGAGAACTTAAAGAAGATTGAAGTAAAGAAAAGAGAAGATTCTTAGAGAAAGCAGGCAAGGATAAGACATACCCCTTTCTGCAGTTTGTCCTCCACAGCAGTAGCACCGATGAGAATCAAATCCCGCTCCATCATCTCTGCAGCCTTTTCAAGCATTATATCTCTATCAGCCCCAATGGATGTTTTTGCTTTCTGGAATTCAGTATTCCAAGCAGAATACTCGGACTCCTCGAGCTTTTTATAAGCCAGTGCCAACGTACGCAAACCAGCTTCTCCGTACTCATTCAAATGCCTAGTGGTGTCTTCCTGATAGAATCTTCCATCTTTTGACAACCGATCGAAGATAATGCTGTGACAAAAGGAGGAATAGCAGATCGAACACAAACCATCAGGCCATTGAAGGCAAAGACATGTGCAGGCTACCTTGTGCACAACCTGATGAGGTCAAGGTACAACAGAGAGACTAACCTGTCAGCACCTTTACACATGAGTAGAATCTGCCCATCTTCATCCCTTACGATAACCGTCATCCGCTTTCTTTTGCTGGTAAATTCCAACACATTCAGAATTTTGTATTCCCTACAAGATGTCCACAGGACCATTAAGATACTCAAAACAAAGGAAATTCATGAGGGTTTAGTAAAGAGAACAAACAATGTGCATTTGGTATTCCAACCTGTCAATTGGGTTTCCCGAAGCTGTATATTTTTCACGGACGGTCACACTTGATTGAGTTCTTTGAAAAAACTCGAAACCAAATTCTCTGGCTGCAACAAGAAAGGCTCCTTCATCGGGTGACTCGGCTTCGTATGTATAACTGCCGGTCTCTTCATTCAGCTCAGGGATGGCGGTGTGACAAACTGCTAATATTCGGAAAAATAACATGATGTCTTCTTGTTTAGGCTCTTTCAAGCAGTTCCCGTTCATGAGGCGGCTGTCCTCAAAATTAAACCCTTTTATGGAAGATTTATGACCCTTTTCACTGAGGGAACTGACAACAGCCTCAAGTTCAACTTTATTCACGGGGTCATTAGCCATCTGTTGTTCAGCAGCAAGCTCAACGTCACTAGAGCTCGAACCATATGCGGTACCAGCAATGGAACATTTGAGAAAATCCATCTGATTGCAGGTCAAAGTGCCAGTTTTATCTGAAAGGATTGTATCTACTTGTCCCAATTCCTCATTCAAATTCGATGTCCGTGCCTGAGCAGGAATCCCGGTTTCTTCATCATACATGAGTATGTCTTGATTAATAAAGGTTGCTTGCAAAACCTTCACCACCTCAATCGAAACATAAAGCGAAATAGGTATCAAGTATCCATAAAGCATGAGGGCAGTCACCATATGGCTAATCCCTGATGTTACAGGCTCTCTGGGATTATAGTACTCATCTGCTTCCTGGGGTCGCATAAACCACCACCCCGGCATGCTGTACTTTATTTCCACAGCAAAGCCGAAAGAGCTGATCAATGAGATCACAAGGAGGACGCTGAAAAGAACATATATTATATAATCCATCTTCCTTTCTATTCTGCTCCTCTTGGAAGGTGACTTGGTGGAGTTCTGCATGACTTTGCTGTCATGG